AGGCCATATAGTCTAGCCAGGTGCCCGAGGCCGCCTTGTAACCACAGCCCTGCACCTACGCTTGGGCGGGACCCTAGGGGCACTGTCACGCCAGCTTCCATTGACTTGTGAATAATATCAGTGACCTTGCAGCCGGCCTCGGCGACGACCAAGGGATGGGAATCAGATTCAGTCTCTCCTTTCTCTTCTCGTGTGAGCAAGTGGACCTGGTCAAAAGCAGCCATGTCGACGGAGACGACATTGGGCCACAGACAGTGGCCGCTGTGACCACCGCCAATGACTGTCAGGCCCACTCCATGCTTTAGGGCCCATTGAATGCACTGCTGAACGTGTTGAATCTTTGTTGGCCGTACGGTTGCAGCGCAACCGTAGAAGTGAGCTTCACGGTTTTTGACTATCCTTTTCTCCCTCACCAACGGCACCTGAGCTATGAGCTCCGGTAACGCGGTCGCGTGCCGGGTAAAGGCCACCATAGTCTCAGGCGAGTTAAACAACAGATGATCGGGATCAGCATCCTCACGATTTCCTAAGGCCCGGCACACCTCACGCCACTCGGCTCGAATAGCTTTATCCGCCTCCATATCCTGCATGATAAATCCTGCGACGAAAGCCGCAAAGGTGTCCAGTACGTCGTCTTTATCGGGCACACGAACGACTCCGTCATAGAAAGAATCCGTTTTATAGCACACTAATTCATCAAATTGCAGGGCCCGGTCGCGATGGAAAACGATCACCAGTCCATCTTCGGGTCGCTCAACCAGCATTTCCAGCGCCTGTTCGATGAATTTCGCTTCGGGTTTCATGCCATACATGCTATGGCAGAACAGAACGAGGTTGTACTTTTCATTACCGTTGCTGCTACCCACGGAGGCAGAATTCTCCGTGTCTCTGTTTATATTGAATGGAGTGCATTGGATGTTGGGCGGGCCTTCCAGAGAGAGCAGTGGGGGTTCTGTTTCCGGAGCAGCGCAAAGCCATTTTTCCAGTCGCGTAGCAAATATGTGGTTGGGCTCGAATGCAGCGTACCTTGCAATCTTTTGTCGAAAATAATGGGGCAGCTTTCCAAGTATGCTTTTCGGGCCGGGTCCATTCTCTAGCACTGAGATCTTCATATGCGAGTTGAAAAGAGGGGCTATGAGCCGACATAATTGCGGGACAATGAAGTCTTCGTACGCTGAGCAGCCCTCGAATATACCGAGTCCAGCACTGTATTGATAATCGGACAATGACCGCTTCGAGGACGCAGTTGGCGAAGTTCGCTGTCTGAGCGCCTGTTCGAGGGTCTCCATGGTGGCCATATCTGCTGGGATGAATGTGAGGACAATAGGACTGCAAGGACCTGACAGTCATTTTTATAGATTTGTGCAATCAAGACTCGAAACTGACAGCTGGATTAATACCACGTGAACTTTTGGCTGCGGGGTCATCGTTTAAGGCAGAGTATGGCAGAGTATAACATAGGCTGTCACTTGACCACGCAATGAGATGCGCCCGATGTATCCATGCGCTCGGCTCGTTCTCGCTGTGATAGTGCTCCCGAATACACAAATATGGTTAAAGCACGGCGTTCTGTTCTTTCAAGTCTCGTGGTATCACCCATTTTTGAGAGTTGTTACCGGACGTAACCAAAACACTCGTAAACCTAAGAGTCCGATAAATGATCGAGCTCTGGCCAGCATTTCTACGTATTAAGTTTTGTTGGGTTCATCTGTAGCCATAGTGGCGACATGCCTTACTAATCGGGAACTGCGTCAAAGCAAAGCAAGGAAAGTTCTCTAGGACAGGCACTGCGAGACATAAGTATACAGTATCATTGGTACTGCTGGAGAGCTGTCCTATTGGGCTAGTCATTACATTCTATGATTCCCCAAAGGTAATGATGCAGGGCGGCGGGTACATCCCAGGGTGACTCGTACACTGCGCCCCCGGCTTCAAGTGGCCACGCAGAATACCATACCACCACTGTTCCATTACTGTCATCTATCTTCACTCTATGCCTGTTAATGGGAAATTATTACCTTCTCAACAAACTTAGAATCTCGTCAAAGCCCATGGTGGCCAACGCGCAATGTGCCTTCACCACCTTAACCGCAGAACCGAAATCTCCACGCTACCTCCGCATAGTCGAGTACGGGCCCCTAGAATATGAATATCTTGGAGAACAGTTTGTGGGGTTCATCCTTACATTCCCCTCCCCCACCCCCAATTAACACCAGGTCATCATCGAGTGCGCCTTCAATCTTGCGTCGCAGCTCCTAACTTAGCCCCCTGGGCCGCGGGCCATGAATAAACACCAAGGACCACGGTTCCTGGCGCAACACGATCACACTGCTCATAGATAAGCTCTTAACGTATCATTGTCATCCTGCTCCTGTCACCTGGCTAAAGGGTGGAGAATACCGTGGCGCGTGGCTATATATGGTTGTCAAAGCCTAGGCTCACTCGGACATAGTACTTGGCGCATCTCACTGCGCTTTGCGTCTCCGAGATAATGTCCTACTTATTCGGGAGACAATCCATTAAGAAAACTCTTGAATGAAAAGGCATAAAGTGATCCCGAAAGGTCACTGGTCTATATTTGAGGAGCATTGATTACCTGGGGGAGCGATGGAATAGATGTATGCTAGTGAGTTCGGCAAAGAGCAGGATCTTTTCCTCGAAGGTATGCGGCACAATCAATCATGGTGCATATTGGACGCCCATGTATATCACACGAGCCGCTACTGCTCTAGGCAATAAGCTTCAGAAGAGACTCGGAGCACTTAGGCTGCATGCAAATGCATTCGGGATCCGTAAGCTCCAAACGAAAAGGCGCGGTGTTGTCGAGGGTAAACTCGAGCAATGGGCGAAGCAACAAGAAAGCTGCATCGCTGCATCTACTCAACCATTGTCCATGCGATTCTTCGAGGAGATCTACAAAATCACGAAATGTCCCATTTCTCGGATTTAACAGCCTAAAATAGTGTCAGACTTATGGGTATGTCAACCTCGGCACTTACTAACGTGGTATCTGATATCTCCGACTCATGAGTGGGGTCCAAAGTGAGACCAAGGATTCCTGGACCGAACCGGTCGGTGAGTATATAGAGTCGCTGTCCCACTTTTCGGTAATGCTTGATGGCAACGTACTCCTGGGCATACACAGGACTCGTAGGACTTAGGTCGGGGAATAACTCTTTCATCATCGCTTGCGCTATCTTAGCATCATCTTTCCTGCTAGGGTTTCCTGCTCCCCGTTTCGGATGTTCGAAATCCGCAGATGTCATGTTTACATATCCCATGCTGTAACGGGTCCGAGAACCACCACATTGCTCGAATAGTTCGAGAAGGTGATACCAACGGAGCAGTCGAAGAAGTGCATTTTTCTGGTTGAGCTCTTTAATCATCTCATATCTTCGTCTCTTCGTGACGTTCACGGCCAGGCGATGCGAATCAACCGTCTTCTGAGCTCTCGCACAGCACATCATCTCGCGCAGAGCCACTATCGATTGAGGACTAGCAATTGTTATCAAAAGGATGATAAGGTTCCCGAGCGAGCCCTTCTCAAGCCGGA